GGTGGGGTGGGGGGCAGCTTGGCTCTCGGCATCCCAAGGCTCCATTCTGCACGGGCGGAGGCTCAGAGGGGGCCACAGGTGCCCAATGTCTGCCAGCTCCGGTCCCGGGCTCTTCACAGTGTGAGGTCCTGCCAGGCTCCCTGGCCCTGGGTCGGACTCCTGATCTCCGGCAGTGCCCCAGCATCTGCCTGGTCACTAAGGCCCCACGTGAGTGGGAGGACCCCTGCCCTGGACAAAGAGAAGGAGGGAGAATGACAGAGAGAGTAGGAGCCGCAAAGGGAGCAAGAGAATGAGAGAGCAAAGAGCCAGTCGCTGGCAGACAGCAAGGCCGGCCGTGGAGTGGAACAATCAGGCACTGTCCGCTCCCTCCCACCTCCCCCGCCCCAGGCTCCCACCAGCTTTCATCGCTGACCTAACCCAGGGGGCAGAGCACCAGGCGAGGGGGAGTGGAGGTCAGGGGTCAGCCCATTACATGCCAAGCAAAGCCAGGAATAGAGCTGCTTTGGCGGTGGTTGGGGAGACTAGGGGCCCCATGGAAGTCCACGGCCCACCTCTGGTCAGAGGCAGCCCAGGAGTCAGCCCAGAAGGGCGGGGAGAGCTGCCCTGCACCCCAGGGGCAATGGGTCGGAGGCCCCATCAAAGCCGGCCGTGGGCTTCTGGAAGGATGCCAGTGCCTCTGAGCAGCACCAGTTCTCCTCCTCAGCCACTGCTGCCTGTCCCTGGGGAGTCTGACCCCACAGATCCATCGTCCCCAAGGCTGGCCCACCCAGCCAGGGTGCCCACTTCTGCGTCCCCAGCCCAGCTTCCCAGGCGCACAACCCCCGTCCCTACTCCCCCAGACTCAGGGAAGGGGAGATGATGTCCCCCACTCCCACCCGCCCGGTGGCTGCAGCCAGCACACGGCTCTGACTGCTCTGGCCCCCTCTGCTAGTGCCGGGCGCTGCCCAGGGCCAGGCAAGGTCCCGGGTCCTGATTCCAAAGTGGGAGGGAGGCCTTGCTGACCACCGCCTAGTGTCTGGGCTTCTGCTCTCAGTGGCGGTTATTGTTCATTCATAGGAATGCGCTGCCTGATCTCGCAAGCCCTGCACTATGCTGCTCTGGTGACGGCGCGCCCGAAGAGGACCCTGCCCTCGGGGACCTTGCAGTCTGGTGGGGAGACAGACAAGGAGCTGGTTAGCAAGCAAACAAATGCAAAACCCCAGACTGTGCTTAGCCCGGCAGAGAATGAGCAGCATCTGACAGAGGAGAGCCAGAGTGGTCCCTGAGCTGGGTCTCAGGGAGGGCTTCCCTGAGGAGCTAACAGGAGCCGGGGCCAGGACACAGGGAGGAGTGAGCAGACCCGGGGAAGAACACGGCAGGCGGGCGGAGGGAGCTGCCAGAGAGAAGGCCCTGGGCAGAAACAGGCCAGCCGCTCCTGCAGCAGCAAGTGCTGCAGGCGCGGGTGTGCACAGTGGGGAGCGTGGGACCTGTGCAGGAGGGGCGGCCAGCGGGTCTCCAGGTGAGGATCCCAAGCTGGTTCTGCGTGCGTCGTCGGGAAGACCAGACGGAGGTTGAGCAGGGGAGCGTCAGGGTCTGACTTCGTTTGAAAATCAACACTTGATCTCTTACCATAACCACTGTTAGCCATTGTTAGCCATAGAGACCAGGACTCAGAGAGGTCGAATGACGTTTCTGCGGGCACACAGCTGCCTTCGAGTCCAGCCCACCACCAGCTCCCCACGAGTCCACAATTGCGCCCCTTCTCACTGGACTCCTCTCTAGATTTGGGGCCCCACCTGATGCTCTGATGCGGGGGGGTGTTCTTAGGTTCTTCATCTGCCTCACCCGCTGATGTCAGCACCAGACCTGGTTTTTTCCTGTTCTCTGATGTGGTCTCAATGCCTGGACACACTAGGCACTCGACACTAGCGACTGAATAAATGCGTGAATGACTAGCCCCCTCTGGGGCTGCAGTGAGGTCCACAGGTGACGAGGAATGGAAGCACTTTGGCAAGGGGCCCGGCGCATAGCAGGTGCCCAGTAAGTGCTGGCTGCTGGCACTGCTGTTCTAACCTGTTTGGTTTTGAAACCCACACTCTGGGTCTCTATGCTGATGGTTAATTGAGCTGAATTCCACCCACTGACCTGTGGTTTCTTGACCTTTACAGGGGCTGCAAAGCCAGCGGTGAGTCAGGCCTTGCGCTGGGGCCACAGCTGCGCTGAATGGCAGGCACGGCAGGCGCAGAGCGTCCTGCGCACAGCCAACCTCAAGCATCGCCTACAGGCTACCAAGACTCAGCCCCTGAGCTGGGCGGGGCGGTAACAATGACCAGAGTGGAAAGCCGGGAGAACTGCCGCTATCTGTCCCAGGAGTGCTTCTCCCAATGGCCACTGGGTGGCAGCACGTCCCCAGGAATATGGGGTTAGGGGTTACTCTTTCCAGTTGAATCTGAGGCTAAGGAACTGAGAGAGGAATCATGGAGGGAACCCAGGCTCAGAGAGGGGTTGGGACTGAGGGTCACACAGCTTTCAGTGGCAGGGCCAGGCCGGATGAGGGGTCACCGGCCTGCCTGGATAGACTCAGGAGCAGAGCAGGGGAAAAGGAGGAGCAGCAAGCTTGGAGAGGGAGGATCTGAGGACCAGCCCCAGCTCAGCCTCCTAGACGTGGGTGGATGTTCTCACCCAAATTTCAGCCCCTCGAATACTACCCATATTAAAGAAGGTGCTCAAACCCTCTGAGGTTCTTGTTGACCCCTCTCACCTGTGACTCTGGCGAAGGTGGCCATTATTCCTATGCTCTCATGAGGACTTGGATGGTGACCTCGTCACCTGTCACTGCCCCCAACATCTGTCTTCATCCCCCACCCCCACCACAGTGATTTCCTGAGGACAGGGACTGTACCTCGTACCACCCAGCACCTGTACCGCCTTGTCCTCTGGCTCTGTCACCCACCCCTCTTCATGGTCTAGGTACCACCAGCACCTCCTTTAGGACTCCACTGAGATGTCACTGCCTCCAGGAAGACTTCCTGGCCTTTGGCTCCTCCTCACGGTGAGGCCTCCGGGGCAGGAGTTGTTCATCCACCCGAGGGTGCCCAGATGCCACGCCTCCTGAGCCTCTGCCACCATGGCCATTGCAGTCGGTGTTGAAGCCACCCATGGAGCTTTGCGGAAATACAGCCTCCCAGATCCCCTCCCCCAGAGACTCGGATCCAACGGGTCCACGACACAGCCCAGGACCCTGCACATAAGACAGTTCCCCGACGAATCTGCTGCAAGGGCCTGATAGTCCGAAGACCCTTTAAGTGCGCCATCGTCACCGCGCTCTGAAGTAGTTGGGCAAAATGATTATGACGAGGAAGGACAATAAAAAGCTCTGACATCTGTGCCAAGTGACTCACTCGCAAAGCACTTTCACACCCATTTCTCTCTTTAATCTTCATCTTTATACCTTCTCTCTTGGGAGGGATCATCACCCCCATTTTACAGATATCCAAGGCTCAGAGGCAAAGGGCACAGCTGCAAAATTTGCCCCGAATTCCCCAGCTGCAGACTAGCGGAGCTCGGATTTGCTCGGCAGTCATCCTGGGGCAGTGGAGCTGCGGGCTACATGGCAGCTCCTAGGTTTGGAAATCGCTATTTGCTGGAAATCAAAATTCCAAAATTCAGGACCTCTATTCGGTCTGGTTTCCCATGGATCAGGCCCTCGTCACCTCGTTCCCTCTCTGTCCACCCTGGCCTCTCCTCCAGGGCCCAAAGAATGTCCCATCTCATATAGAGCCATCGCTATTTCTATGCACTTCATCCACAGCCAGACACTGTGTCAGGTTCTGTGGGAGACAGGAAGTGCAAGACCTACCCCCGAGGGCCTCCTGTCCCACTGGGGAGACAAGAAATGCTCATTTTGGTGATGGAACAATGGGCTCCAACTTTCTTTCCCCTCAAATAAATTAATTGTCCCAACCTCACTCCCTTAATTGGCTGGAACAGGGTCTGCAGAGCAGTGGGTATGTGAGAAGGGTATCTCTACTGTGGCATCAGGCACACTGCTGAGACTTAGATTAGCTCCCTATCCTGGGGGGGGGGCTCCCATCAGGCCGTGAAATATTCTGATATTCATCTTTCTGCATCTCTCCTTCCTCCAAAGCCCCTGAGGGCAACTAGGGAAGGAAGCTGGACAGGCCTGGGCCCAGGCTGCCTGGGTGAGGTGGATGCCAGGGCTGTGGCTCTGGGAGCACCAGCCCCCGCTCCAGGGAACCCATTTTACACAATAGCTGTGGCAGCAGAAGCTGGTGGGGAGACGAGATTTGAACTCCTTGGCTGGGAAGCATGGATGGCATTTCCTGATCCTCAGTGGGGCTCCAAGGGAGCTGTCTTCAGGGCTACCAAAGAAGTTGGGGTGTGAGGAATCTTTCACCAAACACCGTAGAAAGCATCTGCCTCGATGCTCTTAGTTTGCATGTGGGGAAAGGAGGCACGTAAAGGGAAGGGAAGGTAACCCGCCCAATTTGTCAAAAGCAGATCCACCGAACACAGATGTGCAAGTGTAAAAAGGGCACTGGACAAGGTCGCAGTCTCAAAGATCTGGATCTTATACCAAATCTTGTTTGGGTCGCTCTGGACAAAATCCCTTCCCACCTCTGACACTTTGTTTCCTGGTTTGCAAAACTGGGATTAGGCAGGCTGGCTCGCACACTGTCATTCTAGTGGAGGAGTCGCAGCACCCTAGGACGGGGTGCTGAAAATGGGAAAGGGTTTGCAGGTCATTGGACTTCGCCGAAAGTCTCCCCATCCTAGGATGCTTCCGTTGCCGCAGCAACCGCCCGGCCGGCGTGGTCCCCGGCGTCCCGCTGAGGAAGCCGGGAAGAACCCTGCCCTTACCAAGATGGCGGCGGCCACAGGACAAGGGGAGGGATTGAGCGCCGTCGGCCGGTCCAGACCTTTTCTTTGTTTCCGCTTTCTCATGCCAACTGCGAGCTTCCGTCAATATTCGTTCTCTTTCCTGGTTCTGGGAGCCCCGGGAGCCAGAGGGGGAAGGGTGGCTGCAGGGATTGGGACAAATACCCAAAGGGGGAAGGCGTGACTTTCGTGTCCCGCCGGAAGTGACGCGACAGTCGCGGCCGCCGACAGGTGGAACGGCAGGTGGGTTCAGGTGCCAGCCTGGCCCGGACCCGACTGTGGGACCGACGCTTCCGGTGAGCGACAGAGGCACCTCCCAAGGGCCTGGAGACCCGTGGGACGGGCTCTGGCATCTGAGCCTACCGCCCTGGTCTGGAGTCCCCTTCCCCCCGCCCTCACCCCCGTACCTAGTAAGAATAATCACCTACCCACCCGCCGGGGACCCCCCTCCACCGTCCAGAGGGAAGCGGGAGGGCCGGGAACGCCAGGGTTGGAGGTCAGGTAGGCACATCAGTTCCCTAAGCGCTACGCTCCTTTCTCTCCCGGATCCAGTTCTCTGTTCCCCTGCCGAGCTGAGCAGTTAGCCAGCCCACCTCAGCTCTCGGAACCATGTTTGCAGACTTGGATTATGACATCGAAGAGGATAAACTGTGAGTATTTTGTTCTCCCAACTCTCAAAAGTGCAGGTGCTCCAGGCCCATCCCCCAGATCCCCTTACTCCCCAGTTGCACCGACCCTTGCTTCTCAGCGGTGGATGAGGTCCTGGTCTCCTACTGTAGCCGAGGAGACCCTTTCCTTCCAGGAGTTCACCGTCTGTAGGGGGCTGTGGACACAATAACAGATCACACTGCAAGTCAGGGCCATAAGGGCCCTAGTGGAGAGCAGAGCAGGGGTGTTCAGGGAAGGCTTCACAGAGGAGGTGGCAGCTGAGCCAGGTTCGCGAGGATGAATAGGAATATCATAAACATACCACTCTCCCCAGCATAGACCATTAGTGGGACAGGTTTTCAAAAATTCAGTTAGTCTCCTTATTAGACTGTGTCCTCCCTCAGAGCAAGGCCTGGGTCGAGTGCCTTTTTGTGTCCTCAGCACTTTGTAAGGCACCCGTCCGTAGGTTGTTAGCACATGTTTGTTGAATGAATGAATGAATAAATAAGTGAGAATATTCACCACAAAAATGTAAATAAGTGCTAATTTATAGTGAAAACTGAGAAGTAGCTGAGTAGAGCCGTTGAGAGATGGGTGGCGGATAGTTTCACAGGCTTCCCAGAGGAGATCATCATGTTCCACATGGGCCTGAGAAGGTGACACGTGTGACTCAAACCTCAGAGGCAGGATGAAGCAAAGGGAAGGGGGACCTATTTTTATGGCGAGCTTGCTGGCCTTCTGTGCGCTTTCTTACAAGAACTTGGATAAAGTAGCCGTTTTATCCGTACCATTTTAGGGATGAGGAAACCGAGATGCAGAGAGAGTAACTTACCCAAGTGCAAAGCTGATTAATGGCAGAGTGGGGACGTGATCCCACGTCTGCATGAGCCCAAGAGCTGCGCACACTTCAGCACAAAAGGCTGTCTCTCTGGCCAAAGGTGAAAGAGAGGGCCGGGCCGCATCCGAAGCCCCTTGCGGTTTCAGGACCCCGGCCCCTCCCCGCCCCCTTCAGTCCTCCTCCCTCCAGGAGACTCAGCCTCGCGTCCTTCTCTTTCCAGCGGGATCCCCACTGTGCCCGGGAAGGTGACGCTGCAGAAGGACGCTCAGAACCTTATTGGGATCAGCATTGGAGGGGGCGCCCAGTACTGCCCCTGCCTCTATATCGTCCAGGTATCGGTTGCCCTGGGGCTGGGGGGAGGTTATGGAGGGGGCGAGCCACCCCCCGACTTGGGCACCGCGAAGGCAGGTTCCTTTCTGTCCTCTGCGGACCCGGCCCCTCCTCATTCTTGAGGTCTGGCCTCGCCTTCCTAAGCGGCCTTCCTGACCACCCTTCCTGACCACCCCCTCCCGGTAGGTCTGCCCTTGTTTTCCTCCATTATTTCAGTCTCTTCTTTCTCAGCCCTTATCACGACTTCTGGTTGCACATCCAGCTGCTTTTCCTGACTCCTTGCTCTGTGAGCGCAGGGCCCATGTTGCTTTCCCCAGCAGTTGGCGCCCGGTGAAATGCCCGATGTACAGCGGACCTGCAATGAAAATGTCTTCAATGAATCCACAAAAGCAGCGCCCTTTGGTGCTAGGGAAGACTAGAAGGCTATGACGCGACATTGGCCTGAGTTCAAACGCAAGCTTCCCTGGTCATTAGCGAGTTAGTTTACCTCTCAGGGCCTCAGTTTCCTCACCTGGAAAGTGGGGATGTAAAATATGTAAAGCTGAACATCTTTGGATTGTTGTGAATGTTAAATAAAATGACATAATACAATTCCTGGTATAGAATAGGTACTCACAAAGTAGCCTCTGCTGCTATGTCTTTATAAGATTTTATTTATGTATTTTTATTTTTTTATAAGAATTTTACTTATTTATTTTTAGAGAGAGGGGAAGGGAGAGAAAAAGAGAGGGAGAGAAACATCAATGTGTCGTTGTCTCTCCCTCACCCCCTACCGGGGACCCGGCCTGCAACCCAGGCATGTGTCCTGACTGGGAATCGAACTGGCGACCCTTTGGTTCACAGGCTGGCATTCAGTCCAGTGAGCCACACCAGCCAGGGCTAATTTGTATATTTTTAGAGAGAGGGGAAGGGAGGGAGAAAGAGAGGAGAAGAAACGTCGATTGGTTGCCTCTCACACATCCCTAGGGGGGCGCCTGGCCCACGTCCCAGGCATGTGCTCTGACCAGGGGTCAAACCAGGGACCTTTGGGTTTGCGGGACAATGCCCAGCCACCTGAGGCACACCAGTCAGGGCTCTGCTACTGTTTTTATGGCAGTTGTTCACTTTCCCAGATGATCTGCCAGTGGTACTGAATGACTTTGTGGCCCCTGGTAGAGGGAGCTGCCTGGTGTCCGTCAGCTGTGACTCAGGAGTGGGGACAGGCAGCCACTTTCTTGTAGCCTTGGAAGGAAGCTTGCCACCTCGGACATAAACTTGACCTGGATTCTACCCTATTCTAACCTGTTCTGATAGCTGAGTAGCCATTGAGGACAGATGGGAAAGTATGGTCTCCGAGGATCTTGCAAAGGAGTCCCTTTCAGGCCCTGAAGACATAGCTTCCTGGGACGTGGGCTTGCCGGCCCAGGCTGCTGCCTTCACAGGCAGTCTGGCCTCTTCCTGTCCAGGAGGGGTGGGGAGGCCTCCCTCCGCTGGCCCTGCCTCCTTGTGCATGCCTGCTCGGCCTCCCTCCAAATCCACCCTGCCGCCTCTCGCCCCATCTTTGCAGCATAGTCATTTTGTAATTTTTTTTGGCTAAATCTGTGTCAGTCAGCTTGGAACAGCACCATTAGAAAAATCTATTAAAGAAATGACTTTGGGGGAGCAAACGCTCAGGTGGGTGTGTAAGGTTTGGTGTATCTGGCTTTGGAAAAGGCAGGTCTCATCAGTTGCATTCACCTTCTCTCCTCCTCCCGCCAAGAATGTGGGGTTGTGCACGCCTGTCTGTGCAGGCATCTCTGCCCCGACTTCTCTAGCACCACCTACGAGGCTGGAGGATAGAGACCAGGGCGGAGCCAGGCACCGGCTGGGTGTCTCTCACCGGGCGTCTTCTCAGTTCTCCCTTTTCCCCACCCCACCCTCCTTGTGCACCCCCAGGTATTTGACAACACCCCAGCAGCCCTGGACGGCACCGTGGCAGCTGGCGACGAGATCACCGGTGTCAATGGCAAGTCAATCAAAGGGAAAACGAAGGTGGAGGTGGCAAAGATGATTCAGGAGGTGAAGGTACGGCTGCTGCGGGAGCGGGGCCCTGAGTCAGCAGAGCCACTTCTGGGCCCCCGCAGGCCTGGGGGGAGACCGGCGCATCGCTGCCGCTGTCCTCGGCGTGTCGGGGTCCGGGCCACACTGCAGCCTCCCACGGTCTCTCCCGCGCTCGTTCAGGCGGTGCTAATTATGCTCCAGGACCTGCGCTGCGCTTTGGCAAGGGGGTGGGCACCAAGCTAAAGGTCCCTGTCCTCAAGCCCCCGGGGGAGTGATCACTCTCAACACCGATCTTCAGGGTGAGCCAATGCATCCCCAGTCAGGGCTGGAGCCGAAGCTTGAAGTTCAAGGTGAACTTACCCGGGTCATGGACGCCTGGCGGTGCCACTGAGCCGTGGCGGGCCCGGGAGGGGGCAGGAGGGAAAGAGGGGCCTCCCGGGCCCATCCTTGGGGGGACTTTCGTTCCAGTGGGTCTGCCTGGGCTCACAGACCCCTAGGGGCTCCCCTTGGCCGTGGGCAGCTTCCGGTCCGCTGCTGGTCTTCTCCTCAGGCCACAGTCTGCTGCCAGTTCCCTGCTCTACGCCCTGCACCCCCGTCCCCCTGAGGCCCCTCAGGAGCAGGCGACATCCCCGAACCCCCGCGGGAGCAAGCACATGGCCCTCTTGCCAGGTCCCGGAGACCTGCTGCTAGCGACTCTTGGGAAACTAATACAGCAAAGGAGCCGTAAAGCCGTAGGATGATCTAAAAGTCTGGGAGTGCAGGGCTCCAGCAGTTACTGGGCTTGGCGCAGCGCTTTGGCTCCCTCGGCCCCTGCGTCCAAGCCTGTCCTCTCCTCCCCGCTACCACTGAGCACCCCTCCCAGGCCCCCTCTCTCGCCTTCGCCCAAGGCCAGCGCCTGCGCCCCTTCATTCTGCTCCACCCTGCCGTTCCCCTTCCGGCCTTTAGGGCAGACCGTGCAACTCTGTCCTTTCTCCTACTTCAGCCCCTTTAGCCAAGGGACAGGTGGGGGCCGGGGCGCAGGCCTCCGTTGCACAAAAGGGAGCAACAAGTCCATTCAGAGCCCTGATGCCGCTCCGCCTGGCCCAGGCGCTACCTGTTGGGCCAGGAGCCCATCGTGGGAAGTGGGGGGCGGTGCTTCCTTCTGGTTCAGAACTGGGGGGTGTGCACCCTTGTGGGTCCTCCCCTCCCCCCTCCTCATGGGTCCTCACCGGGACCCACCTGGTCCTGCCTCGCACCAGCCCCTCGCGGTTCCTTGGGGACAGGAGCCCCTGACGTGTGTGCACAGCCTTGACGTTAACACGGGGATCTCCCAGCTCTCCCGGCTCTCCCAGCTCTCGATTGGGTGCCCAGAGCGAGGAGGGGATTTGCTTGGGGCCACCCAGCCGGACGGGCACTCAGGGCTGACTCCCGCTACAGTGCCCCCTCCCTCGCCCTCAGCGGCCGTTTGCGGTGGCCCCAGCACATGGGCCACACTCCCGGGGAGCCTGGCGCGCCCACCCCTGGTCTGAGCACATGGGGTCAGTTTGGTTTCCCTTCAGGACTCAATTTTGAAATCCTGTCTTGCATTCGAATGGATTCGGTCCCATGTTGAAGGCTGTTAGGATTGCAAGGGTGGGAGGGACCACAGTGGCCTCGACGTGGGCAGGGCAGCCTTCTCGGGCAACGTCAGCACCTCTCTTCTCAGTCGCTAGGACCGGCCTCTGTACCCCCCGCACTCCCGTGGGCCCCGGCCCTGCTCCTTGGTGTTCCAGCACCAGGCACAGAGGAAGTGCCAGGCCCGCTCAGTGAATGGAGGGACCGAGGGGGCGGGGACGACTCGGAGCACAGGAGAGGGTCTTCCGTGAAGGGGAAATATGGCGCAGCAGAGGCTGGAGTGTGCGGCGGGGAGGGCAGCACCCCTGACCTGGCTGGAAGTCAGGGTGTTGGTGACTGCCAGGTGCTGAGCCCTGCGACAGCAGGGACCGCGCCTGTCCTTGTCCCTGCTGATTCCCCAGGGCCTAGGGTGCAGGGGCGGAGGGACCTGGCAAGGCAGCAGTCACAGCGCGGGGCCATTCCCGCCCTCGGTCTGGCAGGGCTGAATTCAGGATTCTCTCATGGCCACAGATTCCGGGGCCAACAGGTCTCCCTGGGGAAGGGACTGGGGGCCCGAGGCTCCTTCTCAACCCTGCCTGCCTTGCTTTTCCAGGGGGAGGTGACGATCCACTACAACAAGCTGCAGGCCGACCCCAAGCAGGGCATGTCCCTGGACATTGGTAAGCTGGGCCAGAGCAGTGGCACCCAGTGGCCCCCGGCCCCCGGGCCACCTCCTTATGACAACGCGTCAGTAGTCGGGTGGTCATGCTGTCTAACTCGACCAAGCTGAGCCACAAGGCCGGGGAGGCCACCTCCTCTGGGACCTTGCTGCCCTAGGGTTGTCCCCTGTTGGCCTGGCACCTCGAGCCCCCCTGCACACCCCCACTCTACCTTGGCCTCTTCTCCCGCCCAGCCTCTCCCGGGAAAGCCCAGGCCGGGACTGACCTCAGGCCGGCTCCGCCGCCCAGCAGGCCCCAGACGAGGTGCCCTCTGTGGCAGGGGCTGGCTCTGCAGGCCCCTCCAGACTCTGGAGCCGGACCACGGGCCAGGTGCTCCGGACCAGCCCCCTCACTGCAGATCAAGGCCTATGGCCCCTAGAGGTTGCTGTGCCCCCTGGGTGCATGTGCCCCCAGATCCCTAGGCTGCAGTCTGGCACCCCTTCCCTGTGCCCTAGGGCCAGAGCCTCCCCTGGTTTTTAAGGAGAGATGCTAAGGGCAGGTTGAGTCTGTATGGGGTTCTTCCTCTAGAACCCTTTGTTCCCATCCTGGCCCCCTTCTAAGGACTAAGTATGCAACCGACTGAGACTGGGTCCAAGGTCAGCTGACATGGGTGACATTGTCTCTCCTCCCCTCGGGACACCTTGGGTCCGGGTGTGGAAGAGAGGGGGAAAGAGGGCTCGCTGACCTACCTGCAGCTGGGGTCAAGGCTGTAGGGTCTGGGCGCTCCGTGATGAGCCGCATTCAGAGTCCTCCGCCCTTGGCTAAGGGCTCTACGTAGTGACCTCCTGCTGGGCTCTCATACGCCCCGGACGTCGGGCGTAGATAGGGCCGGGCCCCCTGCACTTCAGGGTCACCCCACGCCTGACCCCACTTTAGCCCCACCTGCCCCTGGCATCGTGAGGAGGTGGGTAGGGATGGCTTGGGGTCTGGCTGCAGGCGCCCCCTCACCGAGCCCCTGTCTCACCTGGCCCCAGTGCTGAAGAAGGTGAAGCATCGGCTGGTGGAGAACATGAGCTCAGGGACCGCGGACGCCCTGGGCCTGAGCCGGGCCATCCTGTGCAATGGTGAGTCCCCCCGCCCTGCCCCGACCCCAGCCCGGAGTCTTCGGGCCATGCTCCCAGGGCGAGGGGCACCGTGGCTGTCCAGCAAAGCCACTGGGGGTCCCTCCGGCCTGGCCCTGGCCTCTTACCTGGGGGGGCGAGAGTCACCATCTCTTTGTATCCCTGGAGGCCCCTCCAGCTCCCACGGGGTGTCGCCAGTGGTCAGCTGAACCAGCTTACAGCTAGTGTCCCCCACCCCCAGGTGAGGATTCACAGGAACAGGTCACAGGGAGAGGGAGCCACAGCGGAGAGGTGCTGCCTTCCGGCTCCCCAGGCTGGTGCCTTCGCCACTGCACCCGCTGCTCTGTAGCCAGGCCTCAGCCCCTGCCCCAGCGCCACCATGCGCCCTCCTCTCACCCCCTTGCGCCTGCTCTGACCCCTGCTCCTGCACTGCCCGCTCCATCCCTGTCCTCCTCCAGCAGGTGGCGCTGCCGCCCGTGTCTCAGCGGGTCCTGCGGGGCTGGAGATGGCTGCCTGCGGGGAGACCGCCGTGTACGCGCACGTTCACACCCCGCATGCATGTGCACACACGCTCTCCCCCCAGGGTGGCCAGTAAGGCACTTGGTCCTGCTTTTGCCGTCATCAGCCTGAGTTTATAAACAGCAGCAGCCCTGCGGAACGTGGGGGGTAGATATAAATACCTCTATAAATTGTAGGCTCAGCTGGGCACGCTGGGCTCCATTGGCTGAGACGTGGGGGTGGGGTCTGAGCTTGTGCCAAATGGCGTTCAAAAGTGGAGGCTGCTATTTTCGGCCTCTTGGTTCTATAAATCCCTGTTACTGTAGTTACCATGCGTTGAGATGAAATTAGAACTGGTTGTTGTATTTTTCCCCCCAAACCTTGCAATTTCCCCAGCCTTAAATAGGGCTTCTAAAATTGAAGCTTGTCATGCTGTCCCATGACCCTGCTAAAAACAACAGCACGCCGCTTACGTGGCTCCCGCCCTGCCAGGTTGGCCAGGTGCCAGAGCTCTGAGGAGCCAGGGCCTGGAGGCTAGCCCGCGGCCACAGCCTCACGAAGACCTCCGTGGCGCCCCCTTCCTGCCCCTGAGCCCGAGCCTTCCTCCCCCCACAGCCTGTCACGCAGCGGCCTGCCCTGTCCAGAGAAAGGCCCGAGCCTGGCCTTGGCCTCGGCTGCTGCCTTCCTCCCCTGCCGTCTGGTCGGCACAGGAGACTGGGGGGCGGAGCGCGCCCCAGTGTGACAGCCCCCGCTGTGTGCTGTGATCAAGTTGCTTTTCCTCTCTGTTCTCCGTTTTTTTTTTTGTTTGTTTGTTTTTTGTCAAATGAGGGTAGTAGTTCTGCCCCAAAGGTTCATGGAAGAAGGACTGAGAGGTGTGGAGGAAGCCTTGAGGGTCCCTGGCTCAGAGCAGTAACTCGGGAAGGCCAGACCCTGGCTGGGGGTGGCCGGGCAAGGAGGCCGCCGACACGGGTCCCTGTCCTGCAGCAGCTGCCGGTGCTCCCAGCGGGGAGGTGCGGCCACAGCTCATCCCTGTCGGAGTGGAGGGCGTGCGCCCACCACTGGAGGAGGCCCTGCCCGGTCCAGCTCCTTGCTGCCCTGGCCCTGAGCCTGGCTGGTAGCTCCCTGCCGGGCCCGCCTCAGCCCTGGCAGCCAACTTGCCCCCATTTCCAGCCCGAGAGGTGAGGCAGCTGCCCCACCCCTCCGCTTACAGCCCTGTCCCTGCCAGTCCTCGGCTGGCCACTGCCTGGCCCCTCAGCTCGACTGTGAGCCTCAAGGGCAGGACTTGGCTCTTGTTCACCCGGTCATTCCTGGGGCGAAACATGGGGTCCGCACACAGCGGGCGCTCAGTGGATGCCTGTTCGGCAAATGATTACCAAGGCCTTGCCTGGTGCAAGCTTTTGCTCAAAGCCCTTCCAGAATTCCTCCCCCTCCCCATTCGCTCCCCGCTCTGAGCCGGCACGTGTGCTTCTCCTGTGCTGGGAGCCACGCTGAGTCACACTGATTGTCTGTGCATCGCATCTCTGCCCCTCGCCCCTGACCGCCTTCCTCCTTGGCTGTGGGCAGGGTTCTTGTTAGCCTTTGGGGGGCCTCGGCTGCTAGGCTGGCCGCGGGGAGTCACCCAGGGTTCAGTTGGCCTTGGGAAAGGCCCAGCCATTTTTCACACTTGACTTTTGGAGGTACCTGCATCTGGCCCTTTGACGTGGCCCAGCCGTCCTGGCCGAGGGCCTGCTTAGGAGGGCGGGCAGGTAGCCCCGCCTCTCATCTGGGTGTTCTGAGCTGTTTACAGAACCCCTCTGAACCCAGCTGCCCCTGAGCTGCGAAGCCCCCTCCACGGGCCCTGCCCTGTGCCGACCCTGCTTGTCCGCTGGGGTCATCCTCTGCCCTTAAGCCTGGCTCAGGCCACGCCACTCTCTCTCACCCCGTGGCTCATCGACACCGACTGACCCCCGCTTCTCTGCTCCCCACAGACGGGCTCGTCAAGAGACTTGAGGAACTGGAGCGGACCGCTGAGCTCTACAAAGGTGGGCAGGACACCGCTGGCCGGCGGTCGTGTGGGGACGGCGCCGGCTCTGCCCAGGGGTGGACCGCAGTGGGGCAAGAAGGCCAGCCTATGAAATTTGAGGACCATGGTCGTTAAGAATTCTTTTTTTTCCTTTTCAAGATTTATTTATATATTTTTAGAGTGGGGAAGGGAGGGAGAAAGAGGGAAAGAAACATCAGTGTGTGGGATGCCTCTCATGCACCCCCTCCTGGGGACTTGGCCTGCAACCCAGGCATGTGCTTTGACCGGGAATTGAACCGGCGACCCTTCACTTTGCAGTCCGGTGCTCAGTCCAGTGAGCCACACCAGTCAGGGCAAGAATTCTTTACAAAGCCTTAAGGTGTATATTTCTGGAATACAAAAGTAATATGTACCCATAAAAATTCAAATAAGAGCATGTGTAAACGTAGGGAAAGTCCCCAGAATGGCACTCTCCCAAATACAAGCCACGGGAGGCCGGATCCCCTCCTGTCCCTGTGGGGTCCTGGGGTCCTCTCGGCTGGGGCCGGGCCCGCACCCCTGGGCCTGGCGGGGCTGCGGGGAAGGTCAGTGCGCCCAGGGTCGGCGCAGGACTCAGGGTGGAGCGGAGGGCGGGAGGCCGTGTCCTGAACCCGTGTGGCCCCCTGCCCCTCCCCCCGTGGTCTCTCCTGCAGGGATGACAGAACACACCAAGAACCTCCTACGGGCATTTTATGAGCTGTCGCAGACACACCGGGGTAAGGGCACCCCCGAACTTGCTGTGTGACCCCAGCCAAACTGCTGCCCCTCCGTGGGCTCAGCACCCCCTGAACAGGGGGTGTGGCGGAGGCCCTGGGCAGACACCTCAGCGTCTGACCTGGGGCCGCCTTGGGCAGGGCCTGGTCTGGGTGCGGCAGGTGGTGATGTCAGAGGCCGGTGGGGAGCACCCTGACCGCTGGTCTTCAGTGGGCAGTCGCTCACCTGAGCCCTGTCTGTTTGCGCTGCCCTGCAGCGTACAAGGCCCTTTCTCCCTCGTGACCTCATTTCCTCCCAGGCCTTCAGCTGGACAGGGCAGCTGCCGTTAACCCCATTTTCCAGCTGGGGCAGGGAAGCCCAGGCAGAGGAAATGGTCACCCAGCTCCTAAGGGGCAGAGCCGGCCTCCGGACCCGGGAGCCCAGATCCCCAACCAGCGCTCTGCCCTCAGACAGCTCCGCTGCCTCCTAGCCTGGCCCCGCTCCCCGCTCCCTGGCCTGGGCCCTGAGGGTGTCGACCAGGCTTCCTCCCCAGCATAGGCCAGCTCCTTCACGGTGTAGACCTGGCTGTCTCAGACCCTTGAAGAGTGTAGACCAGCTCTCTTGCAGTTTAGACGCATCTCTCTCAGGGTGTAGACCCCATGCAGACTTCGGCCTTCAGCCTGCCGTGCCCCCTGCCCTCCTCCCCCACAAATCCTTGCTTCTCTGTGAAGGGCCAGGGAGGGGCAGCCTTCAGGGCAAATTTGTCGTGCAGCCTTTGGGGACGTGTTCTCTGTGATCGGAGTGCGGGAGCCCCAGCCAGCCGCCAGCGAGGCTTTTGTGAAGTTCGCCGACGCCCACCGCAGCATTGAGAAGTTTGGCATCCGGCTGCTGAAAACCATCAAGCCGGTAGGTCACGTGGAGTGCCCGTGTGTCGACATGGGAGGGTAGGAAGAGACAGCATGTCATGCAGAAGAGGTCCCGTACTGGTGTTGGGACACCTAGGCCTTGGTGTTGACCTCCAGGTGGCTTGTGGCCCCGGCTCTACCACTGAGTCCCAGGTGACCCCGGGCCTGGCACGTCTTCGCATCTTTGAAATGAACAAGACCATCTGGGAGCACCCGTTGGCTCCGATGTTCTGAGGCCACTAGGATCCTGACACAGCAGCGACACTCTTTGTCACCCGGCCAGCCTGGCCCTGCCTGTGGGGGCCTCAGCATCTACCCCCCTCTCCCCTTCCAGATGCTGACAGATCTGAACACGTACCTCAACAAAGCCATCCCAGACACTCGCCTCACCATCAAGAAGTACCTGGATGTGAAGTTTGAGTACCTGGTGGGTGGTCTGCAGCCCTGGGGAGGAACCACCCTGGCCTGCTGGGGCGAGAGCCCTCCTGCAGGTTGGCCCTGCCTCCATTGTCCACACTGCGGCCAGCAGGACAGGCCAGAGCCGTCACGTCTGACCAAGGATGTGGGACCAGGGCCAGGGGAAGGGCTGGGGATTGGGCTGCAGCATAGGCTGGACCCTGACTGCTCTGAGCCTCGGGGAGGCTGGAAGCCCAGGGTGGACACAGACTCGCTCTGGACCTCGGAACCTCTGGAGTTTTTGGTCACGTTTAATAATGGGTTAGACTAGGTCAGTGGTTATACAGCAGGCACCGGGGCATGTTAGTGAGTTTTACATCTAAGTGATCGTTCTGTGGTCCGAAGGAGTGGGGGCGATGCTCCCCCGAGCAGGCCGCGGCCCCTCTGCTGCGCGACGTCTGAGCGCCTTTCACAGGCCCATCTGCCGCTCTGGGACCAGGGGACCTGGTTTCCCAGAGCATCTCTTGGGCCTTGAGTTTGGTAAACAATGGGCTGCCTCTCAGGCCCTTCCACTGCCCCCGTCTGCTGCCACCCGGACCACCCTGAGCAAGTGCCCGTCTGCATGAGGCACTCCGGCCTCCCCGATGGGCCTCGGCTCCTGGCCGGGAGTCTCTGGGGTCCCGGAGGCCTGGAGCGGCGGCTCCTCTGGCTGGCCTCGGGGCAGCATGGCACGTGGAGGGCTGGGCACATCGGGGCAGGCAGCCAGGAGGCGCAGCCGCTCTGACGGCCTGGCCTCACCGGCCTCGCCTTCCTCCACAGTCGTATTGCCTGAAGGTGAAGGAGATGGACGACGAGGAATACAGCTGCATCGTGAGTGCCACGGGGGCCGGGGGGGACAGCCCTGGGGTCTGCAGGGCTTGGGTGCGCAGCCTTCCCCGCCTGCCTCACAGAGCCCCCAGAGGGTCCTGGCTCTGCAGGGGCACCAGGTGGGTCAGGCCAGCCTGGGAGCGGCCTGAGGGGGCGTGGCTGGGCGCTTGTTGCTGAACATTTGGGGCCACCCCTCCGCCGGCCCCTCTGGCTGGCTTGCTGTTGGACCGGCCCGTGTGCCTACTCCCAGAACAGCTGCCCGCCACTCCGCCCCTCAGTTGGAAGTTCTTACAGGGAAAAACTGACTTTCCTCACTCCCAAGGGGCCTTTTTTATTTTTTAAATTTGTAATATATATATTTTTAAAGGTTTTATTTACTTACGGAGGGGGGGAGAAATAGAGGGAGAGAAACATCAATGTCTGGTTGCCTCTCGCATGCCCCCTACTGGGGACCTGGCCTGCAACTCAGGCATGTGCCCTGGGAATCAAACCTGTGACCCTTTGGTTCACTGGCCGGCGCTCAATCCACTGAGCCACACCAGCCAGGAATTTGTAATATATTAGATACCAGGATTCATCTTATGACTAAATATTTACTTAACGTGGCAAGGGTTTAGTTTTTTTGTTTGTTTTTACACAAAACTGTAAGGGCTGCTTCTAGCAACCCCTGGCACCTGAGCTGTGAGAAGCACTGTGTGGGGCAGGGCGTGAGCCTCCCTGCCCCAGAGCAGACCCCGCCCCGGGCCTCTGAGGCACCCCTCCCTCCCCAGGCCCTCGGGGAGCCCCTGTACCGCGTGAGCACAGGCAACTACGAGTACCGCCTGATCCTGCGCTGCCGCCAGGAGGCCCGCGCGCGCTTCTCGCAAATGCGCAAGGATGTGCTAGAGAAGGTGGAGCTGCTGGATCAGAAGCACGGTGAGGGGCAGCGCGGGGGCGGGGCCGGGGGGTTGCGCCCTGCCCCGGGGAGTCCACGCATCGCCCTCGGCATGGTGGGGTGCGCACCGTGTCCCCACTTCAGAGCAGGGAAAACAGAGGCCCAGAGGGGAAAGTGCTCACCCGGGGTCCCAGGGCCAGGCCACACCATGTGGTGCTCTGAGACAGCCCTGGCAGGAGCCCCCCGGCCCCCTGGAGCCTGGCCTGGCTGGGACGGGTCTCCCGAGTGAGGCAGTCCACACCCCCGGGCAGGCTGCCTCTGTCCCCTCAGCTGGAATGGAGACCTGGGTCTCTGGGACTGGGCAGCCCTTGCTGTGCCCCCTCCCTGCCCCCCCGAGGCGGGGGGCGTGCCCAGGCAGGCATAGGGGGCCCGCTCTGCACAGCCGGCAGCCTGGCCCACTGGTGCCCCCCATCCACCGCCCCCGCAGTCCAGGACATCGTGTTCCAGCTGCAGCGCTTCGTGTCCACCATGTCCAAGTACTACAACGACTGCTACGCTGTGCTGCGCGGCGCCGACGTCTTCCCCATCGAGGTGGACCTGGCCCACACCACGCTGGCCTACGGCCTCAGCCAGGACGAGTTCACCGACGGCGAGGAGGAGGAGGAAGACGAGGACACAGCAGCCAGGGAGCCGTCCAGGGATGCACGAGGGGCTGCCGGGCCCCTGGACAAGGGGGGAAGCTGGTGTGACTCCTGAGTGCGCCCGTGGGTGCAGATGTGGGGGGTAGGGTGCGTGGGAGGATGGAAGCGTGGGGCGGAGGCTGGGCCACCACGCAACAGGGCGGCGCATGAAGGCCTGCTGGTGTGGGGTGCCCGCCTCCCCGCCTCCCTGCTCCCTGGTCCCAGCACAGCGAACCCAGGCGCCTGCCCAGGAAAGGCACCAGGGCTGTGACCTCGGGCTGGGTGCGGGCCCCTCCACCTTCCCCCCAACCTCCCCAGACAGATTGGGAGCTGGGTCTCTGGACCTGCCCTAGGAAAGAGAGAGGGCAGAGAGGAGGAGGGGCTGGTGTGGACAGGAAGTCCAGGACCCGTCCCCGGGGTGCCTCCCCCGGCCCTACCTGGAGTCCGCCGGAGTGGGCGGCCAGGTTGGACAGCCAAGGCTGGGCCCACGTCTCCTGTATACCCTGGTCCCGCCCCAGGCTGACCCCCACTCCCAGTCCACACTCACACCTTGGTGGCCTTTATTTATTTTATTCCCCTGGTTCAGCCACTTCCCTTGCGAAGGGCTGGGCGCTGGGCCCATATTGAATAAACACAAACCCAGATGGCGCTGGGCTCTGCAGCAGCCTCCTTTCAGCTCCGTCCTCCTGTCCGCCCCGCCCCCTCCCCTTGTCACAGGGCAGGTGAGCAACGGGGGTTCTGGCATTCTCTTCCTCCGCCTCACTGTTCCCCATCCTCATGCAGCTCTGTCAAGGAGCACTGCTGTCCCTTTTCACAGATGGAACACTGAGGCTTAAGGCCACGCTCTGTGTAGGAACAGAGTAGGATGTGAATGCAGACCTATCAGGTGCAAAAGACGACTTTCCCCGCCTCCTGGGCCTCCTGCTCCACGGAGACTTCCCACTCGCCCTCCCCATGATCCTTCGGGGCTTCTGGCCAGGAGCTAAGCCCTGATGGGGCAGACAGGACAGTCCTGGGTCAGGAGGACCCGAGGCCCAGGTGAGGGAATGGCGAGGGCGCCCCGACCCCCCCAGGTGCACCCCTTCTGCCAGGGCTGTGGGAGGAGCAGGAAGCCAGTGGCACCTCGCGGCCCGTGTCCTCGCAGAGGAACAGGAACAGAGTGGCCGTGCGTCCCGCTTCACCTGTACAGTCCCAGCCCACACCTGTGGTCCCAGCATCGTTCCTGACAGCAAGTGGCCCTGTCCACTTTTTGCTTTTTAATCCTTATGGTATATTTTCCATTACTTTTTAGTCCCCTTATACCCCCCACCCACCAAGCCCTGTTCACTTTCCAAGTGCCCCTGATGGGTAGTGGATTAGGTGGGCGGAGACCGGAATGGGACTGTCAGGCAGGGCTGGGATCACGGAGCGAGGGTTGGGCTGTCAGCGGGGTCTGCGTGAGTCCCTTAGAGCTGTCAGACCGCACCGCCTTTGAAGGGGCAGCCAGCGTGGGGGCCTGGGGCACAGAATGGAACTGGCAGCCTCGGTTCCGGCCACAGCCCTGACGTCCCTGTGCCTCAGTTTCCCTATCTCTGAGTACGGCTAATAGTGGGACCTACCTCACTGGGTTGTTAGGAGGATTATCTAATTCTCCCAACCAGTCCTATGTCCTAAATGAGCTGCCATTTGTGCAGGGCTGGACCCGAGCCTGGCACAGAGTCGGTGCTCTGAGCATTTGTTAAATGGGAGGGAGCCGCCACTCCAGTGGCCGGGGGTGGGGTGGGGGGGCGCAGATGCAGGGTAGGTCAGCCGGGCACCTGCAAGGGCGCGCAGGGCGTCCTGCGGCTCGGCTGGAGGAAGGCAGTCCAGTGGGGAGGGGCCCCGGTGGGATGGGCTCCGCTGAGGAGCAGGGCTGGACAGAGCGGGGTCTGTGGTGGATGACGCCTGCTGCTCCCACTGGCGCCGCGGCCCCACGCTCGAGGCTTGGAGGGAGGGAAGGAAAGAAAGGGGTGTCGGATTTGGGGGAAGAGTATAAGCACAGGGAAGGACTGGATCCCTGAGCCTTCCCCGCCAGGTGAGACCTGGAGCCCCCGCTGTGGGTCAAAGTGCAAGAGGTCAACAGTCAAAGCTCAGGAGAGGAGAAATCCGGTGCCAGGGTGGCTCTCAGAACCGCGGTGGTGTCCTTAGGGGTGTGTGTCCAGGGCAATGGCCTCAGGACACCAGAGTTGTGTCCTAGAGAGAGGAGACTTGGGGCTCTGCTGGGAGAGGGTCCCTCAGGAAGGCGAGGGGGCGGACACACCTTGTAGAGGGCAGCAGGGCAGGTACTCCACGGGACTGGTCGCTTGCTGTCGCTCCCCAGTGTGGGGGAGGGGTCCGCAGCTCAGGTCCAGGCTTCAGCCCCTGTCCTTGCCTTGGGACCCACGCGCTTCCCCTCAGGTGGTTCTGGGCCCCTCCCTGCACGCAGCCCTCACTTGAGAGTGGGCAGGTGCTGCCAGTCTGGGGACGCTTGCCCCCGGCCCTCCCCGCACCTCGGCCCCTTCCTCCCCAGCACCTCCCAGGGCAGAGGGCCCTGGGAGAGCCCCTCAGGCTCCCTCCTACCCACCCCCACATAGGAAGTGCAGGCACAGAATCTTCCATCTTTCAGCTGAGCTTTATGAACTTGAGTTTCACGGGGCTCAGACCCTGTCCGAGCACAGCAGCTTCACTGAGCGGGGGTCAGGGCCCAGCATGGCCCACCGGGCAGACGAGAGTGGAAGCTTCCCACCTGGGCGCCAGGGGCGACCGCCCCTGAGCAGCCTCCAGTGTGCCAGGCCCTCTTGGAGCAGCAGGGGCCTGAGCGGAGAAGCCCGGCCTCTGAAGTCACAGGCCACCCCACCTATGCCGTGGGCTACACAGGCTCGGGGGCCGGCCCTGGCTCTGGCTCTGCCTCCACGCTGGGTTCCGCGGGCCCAGCTACTGGGCTCCGCACCTCCAGGGGCTCCATGCCCCTGGGCTCCTCGGTGGGCAGGGGCTCAGAGTCCCCTTCGGCCTCAGCGTCCTCATCGTCGCTGGCCCCGCCCCCACTGCCTGGGCTGGGCGGGGAGTCCCGAGCGCGCCGTGGGCAGTAGTTGGTGGCTGCAGCCATGAAGACCCCGGCCAGGACCACCTCGGAGCCAGCCAGGTAGAAGATGACCTCATAGTTTTTCAGCAAGTCCACCAGGTGGCCTGGGGTGGGGAGAAGGGGAGGTAAGGGCATGCGGGGTGTCCCCTTCCCCTCCCCACCCTGAGACCTCAGCTGAAGGGCGGTGCCCTTGATTTGGTGGGGCTCTCGGCAAAGACTCACATGTGCCCCAGTCTTTATCCCCAGTTTACAGATATAAACCCCACGCAGGCTCTGCCATTTGAGACCTTAAAAACGTCACTTCACTCATCTGGACCTGTTTCTGGAGTGACATGCAGCCTTTGGTGAGGCAGCACCTTACAGTTCACAGGGCACCCCCTGCACCTCAGATTCAGCCCCCGCCTGCGCCCTGTGAGTTGTCCGGCGGAGAGCGTTTGGGGTGGGAGTGGGGAAGAGAGGGGCACTGGGCTCACCCCTCTCCTGGGGGCCCTAACTCTTGTTTCCACCTAATCTCAGGGGTCCGTCTCTGCTCTCCCACCTCCCCCCACCTTCAGGCCTCTCCCTGCCCCCCACCAGAGGCCGGGACCCCACAGGGCTCAAGAGCACGGCTGGGCCAAGGGTTGAGGGTCGGGTCGCTCCTATTTCCTTCTCTGTATTCCCGAGTTCCCCATCGCAGGCGCATTTTGCTGCCATTCTCAGGAAAATCTTTTATAGTGATTGCAAATACTTCCCCAAGTGAGGCCCCCCGGGGGCTCCTCCCTCTCTGGGGGCATTCTTGGGGCTGCCCAGAGCAAGCTGTGCCCCTCGGTCTGCACCTCTGTGGCCTTGAGGAAGTGCTCCCCGCCCAACCCTGAACCAGCTGCGCCCCTCCCCCCCGCCCAAGCCCCTCTGTGCATCACGCCACCAACTTGTCTTCCTGGTCCCTGTCCCATCCACACACAGCCAATATGCCTTCTCTACCTATTTGATCCACCCGAGTTACATGAGAAAATGAAAGATGGCCCTCACTGGTGTGGCTCAGTGGCTTGAGCGCCAGCCTGCGAATCAAGGGGTCGCTGGTTCAATTCCCAGTCAGGGCACATACTTGGGTTGTGGGCCAGGTCCCCAGTAGGGGGCGTGCAAGAGGCAATCACACATTAATCTTTCTCTTTCCCTTCCCCTCTCTCTAAAAATGAAATCTTTTTAAAACGAAGATGAAAGATGGGTCCCTGAACCTCAGTGGAGGGGGTGGGGGTGGCTAGTTTTGTGGCCTTGGGTGCTGGGCTTGGGGCCTCCCACACAGGTTCAGGGGCCTCGCCATTCCTGCTGGGCCAGGGGAGATGACCAGGCCTGATGAGGGCACGCAGCTCGCCCAGCCATCGCAGGTGTAGGCCGGGCTCCAGCAACGGTGGCCCCTCCCTGCCGTTGCTCCCTCCCACAGCAGACCTCAGCTCCCTCCCGCTCACAGGCAGCTTCCTGCTGTGTCAGGGGTCACCGACAACCTGGGAAGACCCTGATGTCCCCCACCCCACCTTTCCAGCCCAAGCCCGTGCCATTCTTGTGTAGGAACACTGTCCCCCAAACATAACCCGCTGCCCTCGGGCCAGCCCTTGCGGGACGCCCTCCCGGACCATCCTAGTCAGGGTGGTTTCCCGAGAGGTGATGAGTGCAGGGTGCCCAGGGAAGAACCTAGCGCCCCTCCTCCTCCACGTGAGCACGCTGCACACCCCGCTCTGCTCCCAGCCTGAGGGTTGGGTCCCCAAAAACACTGTCCTATTCCGGTCACTGTCAGAAGGTGGGGAGACTAAAGACCCAGAATGAGAGGTGGGCATTTAGCCCTGGGCGGGACTCCACTCTAACTCTGGGGCCGCAACTTGTACTAGGTCTCCGTGCCTCAGTCTCCCCATCTTCAAGAGGAGAATAAGTGTTTGCACTCCGTGCCAGCTGCTGGAGATGACCCAGCGAGCCAGCAGCGATCACTGTTGGGCGCTTCCTGGCGCTTTTTCTGTCTTTTCCGTCCGCAGCTGGAGCTGGTGGAACTGGCTTGGAGCAGGGGCTAACAGGCCATGTGAAGGGGAGTCCACCCCACCGGGCTCTCTTCCGAGGGGTCATCCCTGCAATTTCCGTTTTACAGGAAGGGGTTTCCCTCGGGCCTGGGAGCACCACGCGCTCGCCACCCCCTCCTCCTGCGGGGCGCACCGGCAGAAGGCGGTCCGATGAGCACGGCCACGGCCTCAATGAGCAGCACCAGGCCCAGCGCACTGGGGAAGCGGTGAGCGCCCACGGCCGCCATGAGCACCTCGAACTGCAGAGCGCCCACCATGCCGTAGGAGAGGCCGAAGGCGACGCAGAAGGCAACAAGGGCGCCGTAGGAGCGCGCGCGCGCGCTGCTCAGGTCCGTGAGCCCGTTGGCCAGCAGGGCCAGGCTGAAGAGGTAGGCGACGTGCGGTCGCAGACGCGCCAGGCCGGCGAGAGCGCCGCACGCGGGCCGCGCCACGATGTCTACGAAGCCCACGATGGAGAGCAGGAAAGCGGCGTCCGCGTCAGGCACACCCGCGTCCTTGGCGTAGTTCACCAGCAGGATGGCGGGTACAAAGAGCCCCAGCGCCATCAGGAACTTGGTGACGGCGTACACAGCGAATGCGCGGTCGGCGCACACCGTCATGTCCAGCAGGCGTCGGCGGGTCCTGCCGCCAGGGGGCGCCTCGCTCAGCCTCAGCCCCGGGCGGTCCGCGTGCGCCTCCGCCTCCGCCTCGCCGGGAGCGTCGCCCGCGCTGTCCGTGCGGGGCGCAGGGCCGGGCCCCGGCGGCGGCCGCATGACCGCGCCGCACGCGCAGCAGTGCAGCAGGAGGCCGCCGAGCAGCAGGAAGCCGCCGCGCCAGCCGAAGCGCTCGAGCAGCTGCTGGCCGAGCGGCGAGAGCGCCGACAGGAACACGGGGCTGCCGGCCGCCGCCAGCCCGTTGGCCAGAGGCCGCCGCCGATCGAAGTAGAGCCCCAGCAGGATGAGCGACGGCTGGAAGTTGAGGGCCAGGCCCAGGCCTGCAGGCGAGGCGGTGCTGTGCGGGGCTCCCCAGGGGGCCCCCCGGGGGACTGAGCAGAGGGGCTTGGAGGACCTCTCCGCGTGGGGAAACTGAGGACCGGAGTTGTAGCAGCACGGACTCCCAGTCCCCGCCCACAGCCCCGCAGGGGAGGAGGCAGCGGGCGCCCTCACCTGTCAGCACGCCTGCTGTCAGGTACAGCTCCAGCAGGCGCGTGGCGAAGGACGCTAGGACCATGCCCGCTGAGGCCAGCAGCCCACCAGCCAGCATCACTGGACGACAGCCGAAGCGGGCCACGAGGATGCTGGACACTGGGCCTGCGGGCAGGGCAGAGTCACCGCTGGGGCCGGTCCGACCGCCTGTCTGGGGAGTACTTTCCAGGCTTTGCCCCTCCCAGCCCTGGGAGACGGCTCAAAGGGATAAGGTCGCCCCTGGTGCAGGGATCCAGAGGGGGCAGAGTCCGGCTAAGGTCACACAGCTCTGCAGGAACAAATCAAGGAGGCCGTGCCCTGTCGGGGACTCAGGGGAAGCACTTGTCCGGGCCCAGAGGCCCCCATCCCCAACCCTCGTGAGAACACGGAACCGAGGCGGAGGGACAGACCCCGCTTCCTTTCTGGCTGCGCAGCCTGGGGCCCTGCCTGGCCTGGACTGCCTTGCTCCTGCGGCTCCCCCGCTCCTCATCCCCGGCCCGCAGCTGCCTGGCCGCGGAAACTCCGGCACCGCCCTGTCTCCACGGGTGAATCTCATTCAGACCTCAGCTTCCCCACCTGTAACATGGGCAGGTGTGGGGGGTTTGGCAGGAATGGGCGGCCCGGCTGCCAGGGCAGTCACCTGCATGCGCCTCTGCCTCTGGCCGCTGCCCCTTCCTCTCCTCCCCCCACTCGGGAGCCAGCATTGCCACAGGAAGAAAGGGGGTCGTGTGCGCGCCCCGAGGAACCCCGTGGATGCTCTGCGATGTGGCACCTCCTGGTCCCTAGTCCTGCCCGACCCAGTCCAGGGGGCGGGGGGCGCTGACCGGTGCCGTAGAGCATGGCGAGCATGATGGAGGACACCCAGGCTGCGTCACTGTAGCCCGCCCCAAAGTCGCGCATGAGCGCGCGGAAGAAGACGCTGACGGCCTTGGGGAAGCCGTAGGCGAAGCCGGTGACCACGAAGCAGGCGGCCAGCACCACCCAGCCCCAGCCGCCGTCCGGGGGTCCCGCGCCCCGTCGCGCGCCGCCGGCGCTCATCGCCACTGTCTCTGCCGGAGGAAGAGGAGGCAAGAAGGGTGTGGCGCGGGTCTGTAACCCAGACAGTGAAGGGGGATGGAGACCCCGCGCGGGGAAACTGAGGAACCCACAGGAAACTACCCACGTGAGCCCTGCTCAAGGAGTGGAGCCAGGAGGGGAAACGTGATAAGAACCTTCCCCCCAAAGCCCCCCTCCTCCAAGGCAGGAGGAGGGGAGGATATCAGGGTCGTTCCCACCTGAGTCTTGACTTCGGGAAGGCTTCCGTGGGGGCGCTCCTTGCTCTTCGAGACCTACTGGGTACAGGAGAGGGGGTGCTGGGGGCGGAGGGCCTGGTGGTGGCGTGTGACCGCAGGTGTGGGTGGGGACCGCCAGCGCCCCCAGGGTGCATGTTTGAGGGTCTGGGCAAAGAAGCAAACATGCACCAGCCGCAAAACGGGTGGGGATTTATTTTCCTTTGTGGCCTTGTGGTTCGTTCCTACTTTTTCCCAGTGATCAGAAGTGACTATTGTCATTGGAATATTATGGGAGGAAAACAAGAACGCATTTGTGACAGAGCATTAGCCTTATCTCGGAAGCCAAGGGAGTTGAGTTCCAATTTGTCCCCACTTCGCTGTGGATTTGCTGTGACTTGGACAGGCCCCCTCCCCTCACTGAGCCTCCGTTTCCCCTCCTGTAGGATGAGAGATTGAGCAGGCCAGCAGGGAATCCTGGGGTGGGGGTTGGAGCTGGTCACCCACTGTTCCGGAGGGGACCTTTGAGGGGGCCCCAGGAGAGGGGCCGTCTGTCCCCTCAGCTGCCAAGAGCCTGTCCATCACCTCCCACGCAGGAAGCAGCCCTGGAGCTGCTCGTACTGCAGGAGCTCAGCCCGGGGCCCATATGGCCCCAGGTGCCCCGGATGGACGAGGACGGTGGGCCTGAGGCAGGGCGTGCCAGCCTGCAGCCGGGCAGGAGCCTCCCTCCCTCCCGCGGCCCCTCCAGCCTGTGGTCTCCCTCCTGGCAGGGGCAATGCCAAGGGGCCTGTGGGTATCTGGGATGCTGCCCCTCTCCCACCAGGACCGGTGCTGGCTTTTCCTGCCTGTTGTCCCCTCATCATGGGACAAGAGGGTGGTCCCTGGTGGCCCCCGCCCCACACTCACCAGAGCCGTCCTGTGGGTGTGGGTCTCCAGCCTCACGTCTGAGCCCCGCAGGGAGCGGCTGCCCACCAGTTCGTCCCACGAAGCCTCGCCCGGTGGGGGGCGCCTCCCGGGACTCCCAGGCTTGTCTGGCGATCAGCCGCTGGCCTGGCTCTCACCCCAACAGCTCACTTCCCGGGCCTGGGGCTTAGAGCAGGTCCCCACCCCCAGCCCCTCTAAGAGGCTTTTGCCTGCAAGGGGAGATGGAGCAGAGCAGGGACCGGCCTTGGGGCCCAGGGCCACCCACGGAGAATAGATGGGTAGAGAGGCCCTTCCACGTGCTGGAGGCTCTGGCGGGCTCACAGGGCCCTTTCCCGGGGGGTCATCGTGGTGCTGGGGGCACAGCCCTGCCCTGCAGAGGCCGGCCGTCCCTAACGACCTCAACTTCTAATGACCTCAACTTCTCGCCTGCCGCCCACCCCCAGGCCAGGTGCCAGGCAGAGCCTCTGTGGCTCTCCCTCGGATAAGGCTAATCCGGGGGAGCCTGGGCCGGCGGGGGGAAAGGGGCTGGAACAAAGGGTGCTGTGTCCCAGGCCACTGGAGGTGACCCGCTGAGGGCCCCGGACCTTGGCCACTGCCGCCCCTCCTCCTCTGGAGAGGGAACCATTTGCTGGGGGCCGGAGGTGGGGTATGGAGGCGAGGGCTTTGGGGCGGACCCAGAGACTGGCGGAATATGCGGGATGGGAGGGGCTGGGAGCAAGCGAGGCCTTCCAGGAAACTGCCAGTGAGTGACCGCTGGGAGCGCCGGACCCCACTGTCCCGTGGGAGGTCTCCATCCCCACCCCACCGGGCCCCAAATCAGAGACCACCAGTTCTGCGGCCACGTCCACTTTATTTCTCACTGTTTACAAAAGTTAACCGGGACGTGTGCGGGGCGGGGGAGGGGTGTGTGAGGGGCTCTCCTGCCCCCTGGGGAGAGAAGGGGAGAGAGGTGGGGGCATGAGGCAGGCCCGCAGGGAGAGTCCTGGGGCCCCGGAGGGGAAGGACTGGTTCTGTCCCCCATTCCGCCTGCTTTATTTGTCAGGCCCCAGACCCCGGCCAGGGCCTTGGAGCTGCTCAGGCTGGGGGTGCGGTTATGGGAGGGACGCCACCCCCGTATCAGGGCCCCGGCTCCTCGGATCTGCTGCTGCTGCTGCTGCTGCTGCTGCTGCCGCTGCCGCGGCCGCCCACTCTGGGCAGCCCTGGGCAGGTGGCCGCGACCTCACGCCCCTGACGGAGGAAGGCACCTCAGCGGATGAGGGGCGCCGAGCGGTCATTGGTGACAGTGGGACGCAGCTTGACGGTGGCAAAGGGGTTTGTGCCCCTGTGGGGGGAGAGGTCAAGGAGAGGGGCCCAGGTCTCCCGCTGGCCGTGGATCCAGGGGAGGCAGCGGGACGCCCGAGCCAGGCGCCCACCCCTGCCTCCCCTGCCTCCCCTGCCGCCTCCACTCACCCCTCGTCCCTCCTTCCACTGAGCCCCGCCCCCGCGGGCCCCCCAGGACTCACCGAGGGAAGAGCTCCGGGGGGTGCTGCTCCCAGGTCATAAACTTCTGCAGTGGGGGGTGGGGGGAGAGAGGGCCGAGTCGGGGTGGGGAGGGGCAAGCGAGCTCCTGCCCCTCCCTCTGCCCCTTCCTGGAGGGCAGAGGAGGCCCCGCAGAGCCCGGCTCCCGGAAGCGCCGTGCTGGCGCCCTGGGCTGCGGTGGTGTCAGGCGCAAGGAGCCTCTGGGCCAGAGCGCCGCCCCCAGGGCAAGGCCGGGGCGACCCACGGCGGGGGGCGGGGGCGATCCCTGTGCCCCCGCCCAGCCCAGGCTCTGCCCCAGGGACCTCGGAGGCAGGGAGGACGGGCATCTCCCGCTGCTCCCGGGGGACACCGGGCTCCAGCCCCGAGGGGACACTCCCCCACCTGCCGCCCCGTCCCGCCCCACGCCACCCAGCGAACGGGCAGACGGGCTGGGCGGCAGGGTCCCCTGCCAGACACAGCGCCAAAGCGGCGGGGGTTACCTGGTCTCCAGTCTCCCTGCCCGCGGGCGACCCGGGGCTGAGGAGCGCCCGGGGGAGAGGGCTCACCTTGACGTCGCTGGCCACCCCCATGCTGCCCATGCTGCTTCGGCGGCTGCCAGGCAGGGGTGTAGGCGCAGGGCTGGGGGCGCGGCTCGGGACCCGGCTTGGGGCGCGGGAGCGGGACTGGCCGTCCCAGTACTCGGAGGCGGCGGTGGAGTTGCCTGGCCGGTCCAGGAGGTCGTCTAGACTATGGCTGCCCCGGAGTGGGTAGGACCTGAGTCCAGAGAAAGGAGCCAGGGGAGGGGTCAGGCCCCACCTGCCCCTGGGAGGGAGGAGGCTGTTGGCTGAAGGGAGTCCACAGCCGGAGGAGGGACGACACAGTGGCCTTCGCGGGGGAGGGGGGGTGCTCTTTCTCCATAGGCTACAGGGGGCCGGGCCCACTCAGGACTGCCACTCACTGGTGCTCCCCAGGTGGGCACCCCCCGCCACTAAAGTCCCCATTCCGGCACCAGCTCTGACCACCCAGGTACCTGGAAGATAGCTCATTCATGGAGTTCATGGAGGTCACCGGGTTCAAGGCATTCATGGGGTTCATGGCGTTCATGGGGTTCATGGAGGTCACCGGGTTCAAGGCGTTCATGGGGTTCATGGCGTTCATGGGGTTCATGGGGTTCATGGAGGTCACAGGATTCAGGGCATTCATAGGGCTCATGGAGGTCATGGGGTTCAAGGCATTCATGGGGTTCAAGGGCACCTCCTCCAGGGGCTTCACATAGGCCTCGGGGAACCAGCCACTCCTGCAGGGCGGGAGCAGAGGCTCCGTCACAAAGGGCCCCACAAAAGCGGTCCAGCGCGACTCCCAGGAGGAGCGCACATCGCCAGGCGCTGCGGGTGCAAGACTGGCTCCGGGGGCTTTGCCGAGAGCAGCTCGTTTAGGCCCTGGAAGGGGGTCTCTCTTGGCGTCTGAGGTCCCCAGTCCAGCCTCGTGTCCCACCAAGGGCTGGGGCCCCTTGCGAGGAGGAACTGGAGGCCCGGGAAGGAAAGCAGTGCCCACGGACGTGGGGCCAGCACCTCATCCCCTGCTCACGAAGCGCCCACCCTGTGGGGGCCCAGAAAGCCGGGCACAGTCCTCGGCCCCGAGGCTCCTGGCCGGTGGGAACAGACCCCAGGCAGGGGATAGCAAGGGCGACAGCAAAGGGCAGGGGTCCACAGGCGGCTGTAGGAGGCCAGAGGACAGGGCGCCCGATCCCCAAGCCAGTGCTCTTCCTTCCTCACCCAGCGCTGCCCCATGGTGCTGGGGATCCCAGCACCCTGCTTTTGGAAGCTCATTACTGTGCCCTCAAGCAGCCGCGGGTGAGGGAGAGGTGCTATGACCGATGCCCCTTGGCCTTCTCAGGCTCCAGGGACCCTACCAGTTCTTGCAGAACTGAGAGAACATCCCCCAAAATCCACCTTAGACTCCAAAACCCGGTCAACAACATCCTCACGCGAGGGTCACTGGGAGCTGTGTCACCTCAAACCGACAGAACAAAGGCACCGCAGTACACTTCACTTCTGCTCTCGCTGTAAAGTGCCCCCGAATCCCCCCCGCCCATGAGTCAGAAAGGATAACCCTGTCCCGGGAATGCGGTTGAGGGCACGGGTCTAGGAGGTTTATTTATCCCAGGTCCCGGGGAGTCTGGTGCACACCGGTTGCAGGGACCTCCAGGGCGGCACCCTGGTGTCCTCTGCGGTGGGTCTGCAAAGCCGGCGTGTCTGCCGTTCCTGTGCTTAGTCCTCTGCCACCCGCCAGCCCAGCCCGTCCCTCCACTCCTGGTCCGCCTAGCGATGCTGCATTGCCCTGAACATGCCACCCAGGTATCTGTCCACTCGCCCAACCACGGTCCACGCGGCAACCGCCACGGACCGCTGGTCCGCGGTGTGCCCACTAACCCCTCGTCGCCACCTGCCCACCTGTCTGCCCCCACCTACCTACCCACTCGTGTACCTCCCCGATCCCCCATCAGCCTGTGCAGACACCCCTATGGGTATGCCCTCCCATGCCCCCACACCATGGTGACCCCCACCTATCCACCCACCTACCCGTCTGCTCACATAAGCGTGCATCCCCTACCCACGAGGCCACCATCTCATCCGTGCCCCTGCCCACCGCCCTGTAACCCACACGCCACCCTCGCGGGCACTGACTCCTCCCTCCGTGCATTCATTCCTTCTCCATTAGCAGGCTTGGGGTGGGCACGTCTCCTGTGCATAAAGCCCTGTGGGGGGCACTGCCTGGCTCCAGCAGCCCTCACCTCCCCCTTTTTCTCCAGCAGAAAGAGCACGCCCTGCACGCTCCCTTGTGACCGCCGCGTGCTCCCCATTTCCCCTGCAACTGTGTTAGAAACAGACTCGCTTAGGTTAAGGATTTCCACGGCGCATGACTGCAAGGAGGAGAGCCTGAAAGGATCTTGGCTCTGAGCGAGCCTTTCCCTTCCCCATCCTGTACCACTCTGAACTCGGCGAGGAGGCTCGTCCTACCCTCACTGAGCGGACGAGGGAGCTGAGGCAATAGGAAAAGGATGGGAGAACTAGAGAGACGTACGAGGCCCCCTGCGGCGGGGTGGGAGGGCGGGGCGGGGGTGCAGACGCCTCCGACAGGGAAGCCTCAGCCGGAGCTGGAGTTCGAACTTCCCGCCCTGCGCCTGCCGGCTCGCACTCACGTGGACGAGCCCTCCAGCTTCCCGTAGAGCCAGCCGTTTTGGGCCTCCGGCACCAGCACCTCCACGACGTCTCCGGCCGAGAAGCGCAGCAGCGTGTGGTTGGCGCCCTCCGAGTGGGAGACGAGGGCGCGGACTCTCCGGGCGCCCCCGCCGCCGCCCCCGCCGCTCGCCCCGCCCGGGCGCTCACCGAAGGAGTTGGAGCGCGAGCGCTGGGCGCCGCTGGTGTAGAGCGAGGCTGCGGAAGCGGGAGACCGTGGCAGACCGTGAGCGCGGGAAGTTCTCCCTTGCGTCTACCCTCACTCCCTCCTGCTGCGGCGCAACCCCGTTCCTTTTCCTGGTCCAAGGACCCCTATCCAGCGTCCCTGGCCCTCCCTCTGCGTTCCAGGTGTGCAGGGCACTCACAGGCAGACGGCGTTCGGGGCAGGGACCGGCGGTCAGGCTCCAGCTGGGACGCGGTCCTCGCCTCGGCGGGCTCGGGGCCGTAGGAGCCGGAGCCGTGCCGGCTGCGGGGGGAGCTGAACTCTCCCAGAGGCCTCTGGGGCTGCGAGGGGAGACGGGCAGGGGAGGGTGGGGCGGGGAGGGGCGGGGCCGCGCGCCCTAGTCCAGCCCCCACCCCCAGTCCCAGAAGTCGGCGTAGGGGTTCACAGGCCTGCGCCAACCGAGCCACCAGGGGGGCGCCGAGGCAGCGCCGGGGCGGAAGGGCCAGTGCGGCGGCGCCGAGTAGAGCGGCACCCTGGGCGGGAGGAGGGGCACCCTCGGGGGGAGGAGGTTCCAGACGGAGGGCCCCAGGCCCCAGGGCCCCACAGAGGGTGCAGGGGACGGTGGGGGCACGGAAGGTGGCGGGGGCGTGAGCGGTGGCGCAAACAGCGGCGGGGGTGCGAGTGGCGCCGCAAATAGCGGCGGGGGCGCCCAAGGCCTCACCATGTCCAGGCGGGTGGGCGTCAGGCGGCCCGAGGGGTAGGGCGGCCCCAGCACCGAGCCCAGGAGCCCTGGCGAGTGGGCGCGCGACGGGCTGCGGCTGGCCTCCGACTGCTCCTTCCACAGCAGCACGCGGTTCTGGAGTATCCCCCGGGCCTGGTGGGGAGAGAACACAGGAGTCGCCCAGATCTGAGCAGCCCCCAGAATCCTGGGGATTCAAAAGTGGCACCCTAGGCCTGGGGACTTGAGCCCTGCAAGCTGAGGAAGGAACAGATTTTCCAGCTGTTAAGAGTGAAGGTGGTAGTGGTGTCCCTTGGGATTCGCCCTCTGCCAACCCACTCCCCTTTTGTCAAAGGCCACTGAGTTCTCAAAGAGCCTCCCCTGCGCCAGCTCTGGGTCCTTTGGGCAGAGTTCTCCCATGGCCCCACACAGGAGTGCGGGAGGGACCTCAGCGGGCCAGGCCGGCTGCTCCATCCTCCTGGCTACAGCGACAGACTCAGGGATGGCACTTACCCAAAACTGTGACCAAAGAACCCAACCCCAGTACTTCCTGGAACAATCTGGAAAAATACATTCTTTTGCCTCATGGGGTTTGCTAAGTAGGCAGTGTGAAGCCAACACAGGAAACTACAACTAAGCAACAGATGATGGCAAATGTCCGATGACATCTTGTGTGCTCCTGGAGCCAGCTGTTCCTGAAACCCCTGAACTTCCCAGGGACCACAGCAATAAGTACTTCTGCTGTTTAAGGCCGTTGGAGTCGTGCTCTGGCGGCCTTTCAAATATGGCTTTCCAGTGCGTCCCTGTAGTCTACGTAAGTGCCCCCTTTCTCGTGCCCCCAGTCCCCGGGCCTCTGACTGCTTGAAGACCTACAAGGACACAAACTCAGCAGCTGACCGTAACCACTTGGGGTGGGAGGGCTTTACGTGTCACACCTGCTGTGTGTGTTAATCATGTTTTTAAGTTTGAGTATCTTATGATTCTCTGACATCTGCAGCTCTTGCTGTTCCTGGAGAGGCTGCCCCTCCCAGGGCTTAGATAATTCCCAGGGATAGTAAACGACTTGCCTCTGAACATGCCTTTTGTATGCAGACCAACCAATCCAACCTGTATCCCCAACCACTTCCTTTAACTCACACGTCAAGCCAGTATTTCCCTGACCCTAAGTCACCCCACAGCGCAGAGCCCCCTGAAGTTACCCAAACCGCAGTCCTAAACTTGCTCAAACTTGCCTGCCCTGCTTTGCCCACTCCCTCCATGGAAACCATAACACAAGTCTGGGCCACGATTTCCCCTGCTCCTTCTGGCCCTTGACCAGCCCCCGGCACTCCCCACGGGGCCCTGCGTGGCATGGCACAACCCCGTCTCTTGGGAACTCTGATACGTAATAACACTTTTTTCAATGGTATTTGTCTGTGTTGTCATTCAGTCACCTCCATAAATTAAATCCCAGGTACCATCAAAACACTTCTCCAGTTAGAAAGGTCTCTCCTTCCTTCTATTCAAACATCGCCCCTCCACCACCACCAACCAAGGCCAAGCTCAAGACCGTCGCCTTAGGAATAATAAAAGCTTCCCTTTGTGGAGCATTCACTCTGTACCGGACCCAGATAAAGGCTTCGCTGCATTATCTTATTTGAGTCTCACAATAGCCCTGGGAGGTACGTGCTATTATTATCTCCACTTTATAGAAGAAGATGCAGAGGGTCAGAGTGGTTAGCGCCGGCTTGGGGTCTCGCGTGCTGCGCCGGGCTGCCCCCAGGGGGCTTCCTGAGCCGCCCCTCAGAGGTCGCTCCCTCCCCCCGGGCTGGCTGCCGAAAGCCTCACAGTGACCTCAGGCAGCAAAAGAGGCTCAGAGCCTCATGTCACAGCTGGTCACCAGGGTCGCGTTCTCTGTGGCCTCGTGTAAATAATGAGCAAAACGACCACACAGTAAAGGTCTGTGAGCTTGTTTCAGAGGCAGCAAGCAAAGTGAGACCGTTAGGTTCTTCATACCATAGTTTAAAAAGGTTTGGCTTTTTTTTTTTTGGCCTCAGTTCTGGGAGTGAGGGCCACAGCACCGAGTCCCGCCTGGACAGCGCTCGGCCTCACCGGCTTCCCTGGGCCCCCATCTGGGCAGCGCGGCCCTGGCTTGGGAAGGGACACTGTCCTCACTGTCCTGACAGACACTCACAGTCACAGAGGAGACCATGGGGGAATTTTAAAAGCATGTACGGAGCGAAAAAGCCATTTTAGTCATGATGCAAACCTCAAACTAAAAAGACTGATAAATGTGACGAAATAAAAAAATATTTTTAAAAATGTGGCCAAACCTACAATAAGCAAAGTCAAAGGATAAATGACAAACAGGGAAAAATATTTGCAACTCATTACCAAGAAGGAGTTACTTTCAGTAACATATAAAGAGCTCCTAGAAATTAACATGAAAAGTGGAGGGAAAGATACTGTGACACGGGACAGAAAGGACAGCCAAAGGCTCTGAAACTTGCAGACACGTGAGCCTCGCTTAGGAGATGAGTATCAAGAAACACTGCACTGAGAAGCCGCTTCCACCTTTCTGACTGGCAAAGAGCAAAAAGTTTGCTCATGCGGTTGTCAAGGAAACAGGGACTCCCATGCACTGCTGGCCGAAGTGTCAACAGTACAGCCATTGCCTACAACCGAACCGCGGACTCACAAATTCCACTTCTAGGGATGTGTCCTGGGGCGGCACTTGGAGTGCGGGGGACCCAGAGACGCTGAGGTGAGGGGCGGGGCATGGGAGAGGCCCGGACCAGGCAGGGCTGATCCTGCAGAGGGTGAGAAGGCTGCCACCCTCCCGGGCCAGGAGCCACGGTTCTTAAATCCTGTTCTCCAGCTTGTGCATTCTGCTATAGTACCAGGGTATTTATATAACTGTTTACGGTTAATTACCTTAGGAATTAGGTCTCGTGTGTCCTAAAGCCCAGCTGGTCAGACCACAAGCAACCTGTTCCCCATCCCTCAGGGGGGTCAGGCTCGTCCGATCCACGCCCCCGCCCCTCCAGGTCACCCAGCCGGCGCAGCCTGGGAAGGCGTCCGGGCACAGGCAGAAAGGAATTTCCTTCCAAAGAAGATACACAAGCGGACAATAAACCCATGGCAAGATGTTTGGCGTCACTAGTCATCAGGAAAATGCAAACCAAAAGCACCATGAGACAGCGTTACACTCACTAGGACGGCTATGATCAAGAAGAGAGGCAGGAACAAGTGCTGGTGAGGAGGCGGCGAAGCTGGGAAAATGCAGGGACGGAGCCATTGATTTACAAGCGGATGGTGGGAAGATGGCGTCCCAAGGTCCCCGGCCCCTCCTCCTGCACATCCCGTCAGCAGCCTCTCTCGCGGGGTCAACTGCTAGGCCAGGCCAGGCAGGCAGGCAAGTCCCCACGCCGCAAGGGCGACTGTGAGGTTTTGGCCCCTGATGGACCCTTTAAGGGCAGGACACAGCTTCAACCTCTGCTGGGCTGGCAGAGGTCCAGGCAAGGACCAGGACACGGGGTCCGGGCGGTGCTGCCCACAGGGACATGCGGGTTGGGCAACATCCAGTGTCCCCCTGAGTGTGGCCTGGGACGGGCTGCCTTCTGGCTTTCCCGAGTCCTGGGGTCCACAGGCTTGGACTGCTTCCAGCCCATAAGGTACCACTTTGTAATTTAGAGACAGATGTCCCCTCTGAATGGACAGAGCCTGGTCGGCACGCGTTTGGTGAGAGGACGGCCTCTGCCAAAAAAGAAAAAGAAGGCGCCCCTTTCTCCAGGCCGGCAGTCTGGCCAGCGTGCTCAGCCTGGGGGGCGCAGGCAGCCCCTGCTCTCAGCCGGGCAGCGTGTGCGGTGCGGCCCGCACGGCCTTCCCCAGCGGCCCTGCCGGAGGGGCCTCCGCCCGAGGTGGAGTGAGAGCCCGTGCACCACGGGCCTTGGCCGGTGCCGCTGCCGGGCGGGTGCGGTTCCCCTCGACCCGGAGCGGGAGCGGGGCCACCAGGAGGCAAAGGAAAGAAACAAGGTGCCGAAGGGGACCCGGTCATGGAGGAGGACCCAGCAGACCACACAGGCAGCTGAGGGAAGCGGGCGACATGCTTAAATGAACTTGATAAGAGCACCTGCTGCATAAGAAAGACCTTCTTACCCAGACAGAGCGCAATTTTAAGATTTAAAGTTGAGCAGATGAAGCACAAGAGAGGACAACTCTGTGGAGAATAGAATCATTCTATCGCCGTGGTCTGACACGTCAAGGGGAGAAATATCTCAAGACATGTAGCAAGAATAGGGGAAATAGGGTGAGGGAGATCACAGACAGGGAACCCCAAATGATGGGAGTTCCAGGAGGAAAAGGGATGAAGGCAGAGAGAAAATAGTGATTAAAGCAAAGGAAGAGCCCCTGGCTGGTGTGGCTCAGTGGACTGAACGCTGGCCTGCGAACCAAAGGGTCACTGGTTCAATTCCCAGTCAGGGCACATGCCTGGGTTGCGGTCCAGGTCCCCAGTAGGGGACGCACAAGAGGCAACCACACACTGATGTTTCCCTCCCTTCTCCTCTCTTAAAAAAAATAAATAAATAAATCCCTTAAAAAAGAAGGAAAGATGTAAAGAAACAGAAGAGAGAATAGCTCCCCCGACCTGAAGAAGAACCAAGACCCAAGCCGGCAGGCTGAAGGGTGTCGGCAGGCCCTCACCCAGGTGCCTGGACATGTTCCTGAGAAAACCTCTAAGCACCCACAGAGTAAGAGCCAGTTACTGAAAAGGGAAGGAGGCAGGCCAGCACCCGACACTAGAAACAGGGATATCACCCCGGACCACGAGAGGAAAGGTCTGCTGCTCTGCAGTCCGGCAGCAACGAGTCCAGCGCTCCCCAGGCAAGGGAAAAGCAAGGCATTTGCAAGCGTGCAAGGATTCAGGCCGTGCATCCGCAGAAAATGCTGTGAAAGTTCTCTGGCTACACCAATGACTCAAACCAGAAACCTCAGGACAGTGGGAGAGGAGAGGGAGTGAAGAGAGCAGCAAGCCGTGCACCTGATCGCACACGTGGTGAGCTATTACAGGGGACAATGCTGTACCGGGTAACGGGTAACGTGCATCCTCTCAGTAAAGCGTCTTGCGCTAGAAGGGCTATGCTGCAAAGAAGTGCTAGTGAGGGTCTGGGACTCGGAGTCTTGAGGGCTCCTGGCAAAACCAAGAGGAGGGGGTCAGGGAGGATCAGGAGAGGAGTAAAAGCTTCCCCAAGGCCTGAGAGAGCCAGGGAGGGCGGGACAATCCTCCCGGTGTCGTCTTAGGTCTTACGAGGGGGGACACAATGGACCGAGTCGTGGGGGCGCGGGTCAGCATTTTTTGGAAAAGATAATAAATAAATACATGTGATTTTGAGGGTCACAAAGGGAGGTCATCACAAGTCAAAGAACAGTAGCCTTTCCAGATGAATAAAGGGGGAGGGGAATGTATAATAACTCAACCGAACTGACCAAAACAACAATGGGAGAGAAAGAGGAAATGACAGAGTAAGTAGAGTTGAATCAAGTGAGCCAAAAAGAATAGGACAGGCATATCAGTCGTTAGGTTACACGGAACGGACCGAATTCCTCTATGAGAGGACAGATGTCAGACTGAGCTATATTTTAGTGACAGAAACACACTTAATACAAAGAGATAAGAGAAGAGGAAGTGGGGAGGGCAATGTTAATCTCAGACAAAGTGGAGTTTAAAGCCTTAGACTGGATTAGAAGACACACTAAGTACCTACATGGCAACATTTGCAGAGCAGGTCTAATAGTCATAAACCCAACAGCACCAAACAGTGCAGCAGCTGAATACAGAAGCCAAACCCCATTGGAAAGACAATGAGAAATGAAGAAATCTGATTGGTGTAGGAAACAGAAAAAGCAAGCACATAGAGGATTTAAATTATAGGATAAAACTAAGAGACGATACTGAATAAACTTATGAATCAATGAATTTGTGAATGGTAAGTGTATGGAAGCAGGAGTGAAAAAAACCAGTGGTTCATACACAAGTAATAAATGCGCAAATCAGTGAAGGATGCAAGAATAAACAAAATCATGAATGAATAAATAATGAATATCCGATGATACAAATACACACAGAAATGAGTAAACAGAAATAGATGGGAAGTAAATAAGTAAAATAAACATCGACCAAGGAAGAAAGAAGGAAAAGGAGGAAAGGAGGGAAATTCCCGGCTCTGTCAGCTGCGCCGCGGCCCCAGCTCACCCGACCAAAAAACTGCAGGAAGGTGTTGGAAAGCAGCAGGTGCTTCTCGGCCAGAAACCGGTAGCGCCGCTTCTCCTCCAGCTCGGCTGCCCGCTGGCTCTCGGACACGAAGGCCTGCATCTGCGCGTGCAGCCGGTTCACGCTCTCCTGGGGAAAGCGGGTTCCGGCTGGAGGCGGGGCAGCGCAGCCTCCCTGTCCTTCCGGACCTGGCCGCCGCCTCCTGGAGGCCTGCCCTGAACGCCCAGGTCATCCTAGCTCCCGCGCCTGCCCTCTCATGGGCAGCTCCATCCTCATGAGCCTGGGCTCTGGGTCCCCCACTCCAGGCATGGCTGGTGGGGACTGAGCCATCTCTTTGTCGCCAGCACCCAGCTCAGGGCCCCCCTGCACAGAGGTGGGGCCCAGGGAGGTTTGTTTAATGAAAGTGCAAATGAGTTGCTTAATAACGCCCTACTTGGGAGGGGAGATTCTGAAAAGAGACCTGAGCTTATTGAAGGAGGCAGGAGAAGGCAGGGGAGATGATCTTGGGGACAGTGGCCAGGGAGGGGAGGCAGCTCGGGAGCAGGGCCGGCCTCCGCGGGGGGCAGGCTGGCAGAGCTTGGGCAGAGGAAGGGGAGGGACCGCGGGGCTGCAGGAGGGTCACACTTTGCTGCCATGCTGGGCAGCGCATGGCTGGCGGGCTCAGGTTCGCTCAGTGAGGTGGAGAAGCAAGAGAGGTGCCAGGGGTTTGGAGGGGGCCTGGGGCACCTGGGGAGGGCCAGGAAGTGACAGGGAAGGAGCTGTGCTGAGTGTGCCCCCGAGATCAGTGACTCCCACCCGCCAGGGGCTGGCGGACCTCAGCGCAGAGGCTGCAGCAGGCCACGCTCCGCCCCCGGAGCTGGCCTGGGGCTGGCTGGGGGAGCTCAGGGGGCTGTCAGACGCCCCCCAGAGGCCAGTCACGCCCGGCCCTCGCACCTTCATCTCCCGCACATTCTTGTCCCTCTTTCGCTCCATGCGCCACAGCTCGGACATGCACTTCTCCAGGTTGGCAGCTCGGTGGCGGTACTCGATCTCGTAGTGCTGGCGGCTGTCCTTGGGTGGGGTGGGGAGAGGAGGGAGACCCCCATGTCAAAAGCTGGAGCTGCCCGGCCTACGGGTCAGTGCACGGGACGGGGGCAGGAGGGCTCAGCTGGGAACGTGCATATGACCTGGGGCCAGCCAATGCCCGGCGTTGGCCTCTATGTGCCCATCTGTCACATGGGGAGAAGTAGTCCTGCCTGGGATGAACGGGGCTGGGAGCGGCAGGCAGACTCACTTTGATGAACTGCATGTCCAGCTTGGTGTTCTTCTCCATGTGCTGCAGCAGGTCTCCGTGGAAGGTCTGCACCTGTGAGGAGGGCACGCAGGGGCGATCAGGGCGGCCCCACCCCCTCAGGCCCCAGCACCCCTTGTGCGCTGCCCACTTGAATCCCCTGCCCACCATGCGCTAACACACCAGGCACCTGCCCAATCGTCAGAGAAATGGGCACAATAAGAGTGCCGGGGGGAGGAAAGATTAAATAATGCAAAACCCCTAGTGCAGAGCCTCACTCGAGACACCCTCGGTAACCGTGCCAATAGCCTCTGGTTCTTAGTCTTAAGTCTGCACTTCGGAGATGCCATGCCCTGTGCCTGGAATTCCCCGCCCGTCTTCACACACATGCTGGTCTGGCTTCCCCAGGCAGGGCCTGCGCTCAGTTACTTTGTTGCTGGAGCGCCTCTAAGTTTGTTTGTTTGCTGCTTACTCCTCCAGCCCCAGGACAGGATTTCTTGCTGGGCCCCTGGCTCAGCCCCTTTGTGTGAGCAGCGAGCGCTGTGGCCACGACCCAGGCCTGACCCGTCTCTGTGTCCCTGGCACGGGGGGCACGGCTGGGCCCAGGAAGGCGCTCAGAGCCATGGAGGCCTTAGCGGTAGGGGTGGTATGTTCCCATGACCAGCGCGAAGGAGGCGGCTGACCTTCAGGCGACCAGGACACCGGGGAAGGCTACTGAGCTCAGTCTCAAAAGAGCTAGGTCCTCGTTCTTGCTGTGTCTCCCATTTGCTTTGTGACCTTGGACAAGTTGCTCCCCTCTCTAGGCCTCAGTTTCCCCCTCTGTAGTAGTAAAGACCTGGCGGATGCTCTCTAAGGTCGGGCCTTATAAACCTGAAGAGCTTTGATTCTGGGGGCCTCAGCAGTCACCTCGCACGTTCCCCATGTGTTCCCGTCCGCATTCCCTGGGCCATTCTGCACTGTCTGGGCATCAGCCCTTAAAACCTTCCAGCTGCCCGCTTTGCGCTGGAGTTCAGATTGCGCAGGGAGCAAAGGGGAGCGAGTGTCGCTCACCCCCCTGCTGTTTCCGCCTCCAGGGACCTGTCGCCTCTGCTTGGGTCCCGCCCCCTGCCACGGAGGGCCCCACACTGTGCTGTGGGCGCGCTGCTCCGAAGGCCAGGGCATCGCCCAGGAAAGGAATGCTGGTAATTTCCTCCCAGGACGCAGGAAAAAATTAGTAAATACAAAAGTTCTGAATTGTAAGTTATTCTCCCACAGTTGTATCTGAAGCCTCAGTCAGTGCTGGTCTCTGAGGGAGCTTGAGTGTGGCCTCCCCAGGATTGGCCGCGCCCCGCACCCAGAGTGCCCCCGTGTGTATGCGCGCGCGCGCGTGTGTGTGTGTGTGGCAGCATGTTAGCGTTACCAGCTGTCCTGAGCACACACCCTGCCCTGTGGGGCCCCTTTTCTGCTGGATCCAGTAGAAAGTGGGCTTCTCAACCTGCATCTGTGGGGCCTCCCCGCAAGGAGGCACCCCGCCCTCCTCCTGCCCTTGCCTCCCCCTGAAGAGACAGTTCAAGATTTCTGCTCGAGCACAGAATGCGGGCACCTTTGAAACTGCCTGACAGAAACAAAAAGGCACGTGGGAGATACGGGGCTGGGGGCAGACCTTCAAAACCCAGCACGTGTGTAACCAGGGCACAAATATGGAGGGCGGCGGGTACCTGGAGAGACAAACCGGAACCACCCCGAAGGCCACAGAAAATATTTAAGATGCACAGACTCAACAGAACTCTGCTGGCAACGCACTCATTTCTGCGGCGCTGGCCTGCTGAGACGGCGGAGGAGGGAGTGCAGCTGGGGTGGCAGCTGAAAGCCTGGGACGGGGGAGGGGTGCAGGAGGTCTTTGCCAGCCTCCATAAACTACCGACAACAATCAAGTCGGGTGCTTTCCCCTTCCTCTTAATTCCGCCTCCCTCGTCCCAGTCCTCTGGCCTGGAAACACTGCTACCGAACAAGCCGCCTTCCACTACAGGGTTGTCACCCCCACGCCCAGTCCCATATGACCTGCGTCACTCCCCGGAACTGCGCGTGAGAGCAAGACAGAGGGGTTATAATGCTTCCCATTGCCACACCTGGCTGGGATCGCAGACAGGGAAGGGGACACAGGCCCAGGGGCCCCAATCAGATGGGGCTCAGGCCCCTCTGGGCACGGAAAGTCCTCGCAGGCTCCTAACCAAGTAGGTCTATTAAGAGGGTGATATTTGAAGTGGACTTTGAGCTCTTGCTGTAGAGGAGCAGGTGGCTTCTGGTATAAGGAAGTCCCTTGCCCCAGGGCAGGCTGAGGAAGTCCCAGGCCTCCCTTGCCCCGCCCCCGGCACACACTTTATCAGTGCGCCCTGGAAGCCCCTCAGTACAGAGTCTGAGGGCCGCTCTGCTGCTGAAAACATGCACCTCGAGCTCCGCGAATCGAGTTACTCCAGCAACTCAAGAAAGCCAGCTCCACAGGAAAACCCCCCTGAAGGAACTGCCTCTGTGGGCTGGCCCCCACCCCTCTCTTCTCTTTAGGTCTCGACTCCCCCCACGCCATGCCAACAGGAATTCTCTTGTTGAAGTCACGGAGGCTGCACGTTGCGAAGTCAGCGCTCAGGACTCACCGCCTGTCGTCGTCATCGGACACAGCTGGCCACCCTGCTCCCGAAACATCGTCTCCTCTCAGCCTGTGGCCCGGCCCCCTCTCCTGGTATTCCTCGCCACCCCCGCCCCCCACCAGCTGCTGCTTCTCTGTCCTTTATGGATGCCCCCTCATCTCCCTGACCCTTTATCGCTGGGCCGACCCAGAGCTCAGGCCTTGGGCCTCTGCCTTGAGCTCCACCCCCTCCCTCTGGGAACTCAAACAGCCCTTATGCTCAGGACTCAGCCGGGATCTCGCCCCAAACTCCAGTCTCAGCCATGCAGCTGAGCAGTCACCTCTCCGCTGGGTTTTCTGACCATCGTCCCGTGCTCACTGTGTCTAACACTGAGCTCCTGATCTGTCCCCTCTACACAAACTGCTCCATATTCAGTTTTTCTACCTCAACTAGTGGCAACTCCGCCCCTTCAGACGGTCAGGTTAAAACCTTGCAGTTACCTAGATTTCCCTCTTTCTTTTGCAACAGACATCCAGTCCATCCGAAGATCTTACTGGTTCTGCATCCAGTCTGATCTCTTCTCAAGAGCACCGCTGCCGCAGCCCTTGGCCAAGCACGTCACGCCTGCCCAAGGCTACTGCGGCAGCCTCCCACCCGGCCTTCCGCCTCTGCGCTTGCCCTCCGCTGCTGTTCTCTTCTTAGTACGGGAGCCAGAGCGACCCTACTAAAGTGTAAGTCAAACAAGGCACAAGTGGGAAATGATATTTTAAAATGCCACTTGCAAATGTCTTCAAAAAACATAAAATACCTAAAAATAAGTCTATTGAAAGATATGCAAGACTGCTACACTGAAAAAGAGAAAACATTGCTCTGAAAAATAAACAGACGTATACCATGTTCATGGATCACAAGACTCACTATTGTTAAGATGACCGTTTATCGATGAATGCGATCCCTGTCAAAATCCCAGCAGGCGCTCTTAGACAAATTGACAAGCTGATTCTCTTATTTATAAGGAAATACAAAGGATCTTGAATGGACTCAACAATTGTGAAAAAGAACAACGAAATTCTTACACTACTTGATTTTGAGACTATTAAGTTACAGTAATTAATAGTGTGGTATTGGTATAAAGACAGACAGAGATGTTGATGGATCAAGGTAGAGAGTTCAAAAATAGACCTACTAATACAAGAAAAATCAAATTTTGACCAAGACACCAAGTCAATTGAATAGGGAAAGGGAAGTCTTTTTTAAAATGGTCCTGGTTGCCCTGGTTGGTGTGGTTCAGTGGATTGAGTGCTGGCCTGTGAACCAAAGTGTTGCTGGTTTGATGCCCAACCAGGGCACATGCCTGGGTTGCGGGCCAGGTCCCCAGGTGGGGATGTTCAAGAAGCAACCACACACTGATGTTTCTCTCCCTCTCTTTCTCCCTTCCCCTCTCTCTAAACATAAAAAAAAATAAAGTCTTTAAAAGCAACAAAATGTTTTGCCATTGAAAGATAAAATAAAATGATTCTGAAACAGCCAAATATCTGTATGGGGGAGAAGACACACTGGCTCCCTCTCTCTTCATACACAAAAATAAATTTGAGGTGGACCATAGAAATGAGTGTAAAGCCCAGAATATACAGTTCCTGCAAGAAAACGTAGGAAGACGTCTTTGCCACCAGGGCAGGTGAAGAGCCCTTGGGGAGGATACAAGCACCAGCCATTCTTTATAAAACACCAAACTGGACTTCATAAAAATTTTTAACAAGTTGCCGTCAACAGTAATGGTGACTTGATTTTAAAAATGGTCAGAAGAGTAAACAAACATCTCATGAAGACAATATACAAATGTCCAATAAGCTCATTAAAAATTATTAGTCCTCAGGATATGCAAAATATAACCGCAGTGAAGCCTGCCGTCCCATACCTGTGCGAACTGCTGGAATAAAAAGGACTGACAGCATCGAACGCCAGCACGGATGTACAGCGACCGCAGCTTTCAGACATGGCCGGTGGGAGCGCAGGTAGTACAGGGACTTTGGCGAACTCTCTGACAGTTTCTCACACAGCTAAATATATGTCAACCCTATGACCCATAACTTCTACTCCTAGATATTCACCCAAGAGAAATGAAAAGACAGATCCACAAAAAGACTTGTACAAAAACGCTCACAGCGGCCCATTTCTAGTAACCCCGCACGGGGGGCGGCCCCGGTGACCATCAACAGAAAAGGGGGTGGACAAATTGTGGTCTAGTCATACGATGGGACACGCAGCAGTCACATAAAACAAAGCCTTGGGACATGCCACGACATGCACTAAACTTACAGACACTATGCTGAGTGGGTGAGGCAGGACACAAAGAAATACATACCATACAACTGCATTCATTCTAGCAAGTTCTAGAACAGGCGACATTAATCTCTAGAGATAGAAACGAGCCAGGGGCCGCCTCTGGGTGGGAGGAGGTCACAGGGGAAC